GTCAGATTCTGCGGTGGACGTGTCTGTGACGTAACATGTTGTGCTCCCTTAAATCAATCCACCTTAAATCCAGTCAGGTGTGATGAGGACAAACAGAGGATTTGATTGGCTCATTAATGAGCTGCGTCACGTCCACTGACCGGACCTGGTTCATCCCGGTCTGCTGCTGACGTCACTGACTCGTCCGGTTAGAGTACATTTACTGCAGCACGTGTTTGAGAAACCCAGTGACGTCACATAGTCCACCTTCACATCTCTGGTGTTTGTTGAACAATATAATATAGAATCAATGTAAACATCAATATATAAATCATATTATAAACATTCATTATAATCAATAAATGTTAACATCAACCCTTAATCTATATTTTATACCTGTTCACACCCGTTTTTACTTTAAACCCGTTCATACCTGTTCATATCACACTCCTGATGCTCAGACTGACTTTGGCTCCCGGTCGTTTGTGAGGCGTTAAACGTGTGATTGATGTTGGTGAACACCTGTTCTCAGGTCAGCACAGACGTCATCATGCCTTTCGGAAACACCCATAATGCGCTGAAGATGAACTACTCTGCGGAGCAGGAGTACCCCGACCTCAGCCAGCACAATAACTACATGGCCAAGGTGCTCACGCCTGAGATGTATGCCAACCTGCGGGACAAGGAGACGCCCAGTGGATTCACCCTGGACGATGTCATCCAGACTGGCATCGATAATCCAGGTAACGTTTCTAATCCAAATCACATCGAGATATAAATCACTGCAGCTACCTCACATCCCATCTCAAACCAGCGCAGGTCACTCCTTCAAACCAGCGGCCTCAATCAGAACCGTTGCATCCTAAAGACTCCATTTTGTGCATTCGCTACTTCTCACGCTAATGTTGGGATTATAAAAACAAACTTGACGGGAGAATGTGAACTTGTACGTTAACTCTGATTCATGGATACGAACATTTGGAGCCGGGAAAATAATGATGCAGACGTGAGGAGGTGAACTGAAGATTATTGATCCACTTCATCATTAACATTCAAACCAACAAGGTTATTTGTGCTCACGTCACAAAACTGTTCCACTTCAATTGAAAATATATAAAACAGCTTCATTACGTAAAAAAGCAAAAATAACAGTTAAAGAATCAAGTGATTGTTGTTTAATAATATCTTTTATAACGCTGCACCTGTATTACGACTGTACTTTTTATATACTGTGTGTGTGTGTGTGTGTGAGAGTTAAATCTGCAGTGAACGTGACTGTCAGCTGCAATGAAGATCACTTATATCAAAT